CAAGGGCAAGGGCAAGGCTTGATGGCGCGGCGTGCACTCTCACTCGAGCACTTTATGGGACACTCTGATATTTTGAAATAAAGTTGTATTTGATATGGTTTTGAAAACAATTGTAACTGGTTTTTGTGGATGATGGAAATGTGCTTTGGCTAGTCAAAAATGAAATTGTTACCCTTGATTTTGGGTCGTTACACCGTGGCAGTGGAATAAGACGATGCGGGGGTTCCCATGGCATTCAGTGTAAGACCTTGGAGGGTTTCCATGGCATCCTAGTATATTGCATGTTTAGCTTATATGACATATCTGTGGTTAGCTAAGACCATGTGGGGGTTTCCATGGCAGTTAGGGAAGACCATGTGGGGGTTCCCATGACAGGTAGTTAAGACCATGTGGGGATTCCCATGACAGTGGGTTAAGACCACGTGGGGGTTCCAGTGGCACCGGTGTAAGACCTTGGAGGGTTTCCATGGCATCCTTATATGTTTATATGCATGACTTATGTAGCTTTTATGGCCGGTATGGTTTATGTGATTATATGGATTGTGTGGGGTATGTTATGGGGAACTCACTAAGCGTTAGCTTACAGTTTGTTGGTTGTTTCAGGTACTTCAGGATCTAAGGGCAAGAGCCCGACGTGATGGCGCGGCATGCACTCTCTGGCCTTTTTTATTTGGGACACTCTGATATTATGAATAAATTGTCTGATATTATGGATTTTGGAAACAAATGTGATTGGAATTTTATATTTTATGGAAACGATTTTGTTACTTAAAAATGAAAAATTTTATTGGAAATTTGGGATGTTACATTGTGATTTTGGGAAACCGCACTAACAAAGCGATTTTATGGTGCGATTCTCTTATTTTTTGATGTTGTAGATATTTAATAAGACGGTTTTTAGAAGGGACCACATCAAAAAATAAAAACCACTCGCACTATTAAATGACTTGTGTATTAGTGAAATCCAAAATAACACCAAAGGTACCCCAAAAGTCAAATTAGACTATGTTTAAAACTCAAATAGCACAAATGTCACTTCGAGCTTCAACATAACTATCACCTAGATAACACTTTCAATATATCCTAATATGGTCGAAGCCAAACAAATGCCATACCTTATAAAACCAAATAGATCAATCTTGAACCAAACACAAATGCACAACAAAACGTCTATCCCTCAAATGCCTTTTGGCTTAAACGTCTTTCAAGTCTTATGACCAAATACCTTTTGGTACCAGTATGCTCAAACAAAACTACATTGTCTCCAAACTATTATATAGAACCGACCCAAATGAACCTTCTTGAGTGATAGCAAAACTTTTCTCCTGCAAAGCAAACAAAAATGATTTCAAAGAACTGGACATGTTTTCGTTCTCAAACTAAGTGACAAACACCAACAATTATGAATGATAAATCTAAAATGTAATCCATTACCATCCCAAATGAATGCAAAACCATAAATCACCATGAAGAATGCATTAAGCATATCAAATCGTTGTTCCTCCAAATCAAACATCTAACTTTTTCCTTGACAACGATCAAGAAAACAAAGATGTAACCTCTAGTACCACCTAGTGGGTTTCTCACAAAAGATGAATACAAAAATCGAAGGTTGCTAACATACTCTGTAACGCCCGCAGATTTGGGCTAGTCAATTTAAAGACAATAAGCGTCCAAAATGACTTTTTTATGGAAGATTATTTAGAAGGAGTAATCTTAACCAAGTGGTAGTAATCTTAACCAAGTGGTAGTATATGTTACAAGGGTTCCAGCCTATAAATAGAGGTGTCGGGTTCCCTCATTCTTCACACCTTCCCAACTTCACTTTCTCTCTCTAAGCCC